ATTTCAACGTATTGTGTTAGATACACCAAAGCCTTCTTCGCTAAGTTCTTTGAATTTTCTTTTGTTGAAGCTTGTATGTTGAAGCTTTCTGAGTGGAGCATGTAGGTTGGGGTAGTGTTCCCTTAATTTTCCGAGTGAGGAAAACTTCTCGGTTGGAGACTTGGAAAATCCAAGTCACTGAGTGGGATCGGCTATATGAATCTTAGAACGCCATTGTGCTCGATCCTGTGTCATGTCCTTCGTTAGATCCAAATACTCTAAGTCTTTTCTTAGAGTCTCTTCCAAAGTTTTCCTAGGTCTTCCTCTACCCCTTCGGCCCTGAACCTCTGTCCCATAGTCGCATCTTCTAATCGGAGCGTCAGTAGGCCTTCTTTGCACATGTCCAAACCACCGTAACCGATTTTCTCTCATCTTTCCTTCAATTTCGGCTACTCCTACTTTACCCCGGATATCCTCATTCCTAATCTTATCCTTTCTCGTGTGCCCACACATCCAACGAAGCATCCTCATCTCCGCTACACCCATTTTGTGTACGTGTTGATGTTTCACCGCCCAACATTCTGTGCCATACAGCATCGCCGGCCTTATTGCCGTCTTATAAAAATTTTCCCTTGAGCTTCAGTGGCATACGGCGGTCACATAACACGCCGGATGCACTCTTCCACTTCATCCATCCAGCTTGTATTCTATGGTTGAGATCTCCATCTAATTCTCCGTTCTTTTGCAAGATAGATCCTAGGTAACGAAAACGGTCGCTCTTTGGTATTTCTTGATCTCCGATCCTCACCCCTAACTCGTTTTGGCCTCCATTTGCACTGAACTTGCACTCCATATATTCTGTCTTTGATCGGCTTAGGCGAAGACCTTTAGATTCCAACACTTCTCTCCAAAGGTTAAGCTTTGCATTTACCCCTTCCTGAGTTTCATCTATCAACACTATATCGTCTGCGAAAAGCATACACCAAGGAATATCATCTTGAATATGTCCTGTTAACTCATCCATTACCAACGCAAAAAGGTAAGGACTTAAGGATGAGCCTTGATGTAATCCTACAGTTATGGGAAAGCTTTCAGTTTGTCCTTCATGAGTTCTTACGGCAGTCTTTGCTCCTTCATACATATCCTTTATAGCTTGGATATATGCTACTCGTACTCCTTTCCTCTAAAATCCTCCAAAGAATGTCTCTTGGGACCCTATCATACGCTTTTTCCAAATAAAGAAATGATTTCAACATTAGACTTTCATTTGCCCAAACATATTTTAATTTCGATCCGTCACTACCCATTAGTCACTATAACAAATGAGCCATGACAAATTACATAAACGTATGGAAAAAAACATTAGACTTTCATTTGCCCAAACATATTTTAATTTCGATCTGTCACTACCCATTAGTCACTAGAACAAATGAGCCATGACAAATTACAAAAACGTATGGAAAAAAACAACACTAAAAATAAAGCTGATAAAATCCTCTCTTTTCCTTGATTTTATTAATCTGTCACCTTCAGAAGATTTAAAAAAAAAAAAAGACTGAAGTTAGTAATTAATTTTTTTTAATAGAATTTTGTGGGACCCCAGACCGCTAATTTCCTTTCAAAGAATTGAACCACAAGCCACTTTTGTGGTCTTGGATTGGCCAAATTTCAATTATCTGAGATTTTGTAGGAATCATTATTTGATAATTATTTTGTTCCAACGCATGATCCAAAACGGCCGTTCAATCTAAAGACGTGGGACGATTTTGATTTAGTAATCACGCAAAACTTAAATCCAATTGTTAATTATTAGTTTATTTGTTTTCGATTAATTTTGGTGTTTAAACAAAGACATAGTTTGCTAAATATGTCTTATGCTTTTGTATGAACGGAATGGAAGAGGGTCATTGAATTGATATTTCAACAAGAAATTTGTCGATTTGAACACAGAACTTGCTCTAGCAAAGTGAACAAATTGTGGCTCAGCATCTATAAGAATGGTTGTGAGATTTTGAGGGCCGGATATAGAAATTTAAGATGAATATCTTGTGAATGATGTTTATTACAGAAGTGATAGAAGTAGATAAAAGTAGTAGTAGATGTAATTCAATCTGATTAATTTTTATTTTGGTTTGAATGAACCACTATGTCAACTATTATATTTTTTTTTATTTTTCACACACTTATTTTTTGTTTGATATGAATATTTGATTTAAGGTTGTGCTGCCCCCACTTTTTTTTTTACCTTTTACATATTCTTCTTAATTTCCGATCGTCATAAATTGAAAATGAGAAATTAGGTTCCCATCATTCATTCTGCTACTTCATTGATTAAAATGCTATTCCTTTTTAATTTTTGATCAAGATCCTTGGATATTATTAACATCATTAATAATTTCAAAAATAAAATATTTTTTTATTTATAAATATATTCATTTAATGTTAAAAATGTTACAATTAGTATATTTATATTTATGACTAAATTTTTTATCATATATTTTTAGTTTTATTTTTTAAATGTAATTCTTTTTTAATTTGTGCCAATTTTCTTTTCAGTTTTAATTTGTACCCATATATTAAATTCTTTTTTTGCCCATATTTTTTAAAGTTTATTTGTATTTGTACCCATATATGTTTTTTTATTTGTACTTTTTATTTTGCTAAATGTACCCATGCTAATTATATGTACCCATTCATGTAAAACTTTTTAATCTTAAAATGTACTCATTCTTAAAAATACCAATTTGTTATATGTAAACTGTATCATTTTTTTTTATATAAAATCTATTCAATTTTTTTCTAATCCATTTTTAAACTTATATGGGTACATTCTTTTTTCTTTGATTTTAAAATGTATCCATGTCAAGTTTATCGAAGAAATTTACTAATATTATTAAGCCTAATTTTTTTTTGTTGTGATTTTGAAGAATGTACCCATGTTTTGACACAATAATATTTTGGTTAATTTTGATGAATGTACCCATGTTTACACACACACACACACACACACTATGTATATTTATATTTTAATATTTTTAATCCCACAAATTATGGTTTTTTTATTTAAAATCTCATTTATATAAACAACTAAAATTTCTAATTTTTAATTCAAAAAATATAGTAACGTACATAGAAATAAATTATCACATTACTTTCAGGGACGTCAATCAAAAATTAAAAACCAACAAGGTTTCAATAAAAGAAAATTCATAACTAAGGACCGCATCCAAAATTTTCCAATTGAAAAATATCAAAAAATAGAATGAATTGAAAAAGATTAATGACAAAAGTTAACAAGAGTGTAAACAATAATAAAAAAAAAGGCTTATTATATTAACACCCCACATACTTAATACACTTCACATTTGCTTTTTCACTTAAAAATTATCTTGATACACCCCACATAATACCCCCACACCCCACATACTTCCCCATAATACCCCCACACCCCACATTCTCAATATACACTTTATATAATCTATGTACTTCCCCATAATACCCCCACACCCCACATTCTCAATATACACCTTATATAATCTACATACATCCCATATTTCTCAAATCTTATGACACTCATTTTTAATTTTCAAGGACTGAATCTAAACATTTGAGCGTTTAGTTTGCCGAATGATTTCAAAATGAATGATTCGAAAAATGGTTAGATTAGAGAAAAAAGGTAAGAGTTTTATGGGATTGGTGCAATGGTAATGTTCTGGATGGTTTGTCTAGAAAGAAATACCAGGATGTTTAAGCATAAATTTGAAGACTGAATTAAAAAAATAAAGGATAAGTATTGGAAATTGTTTTGGGTCTCGGTTTCTAATGACTTAAAGAATGCCATTTCTTGTTGAATTTGAACATTTTCTTCGATTTCTCTTGGCTAGAGGGTTATGTGTCTTTTAATTGCATTTCACATTCTTTGACATTGTCTAACATTCAATTGAAATAGATTCCTATAGTTGCTACCCTTTTTCTTAAGGGCGGCCACAAAAAATGTTGCCTTTCTTAATCGCTAAACTTTTCTCTTTGGGATGGCAAGGCGGGTTTTCCCATACATATGCTGTCATTCATTTATTGAAGAACTAGGTCTCCATCTTTCTAATACAAAAAACATAAAGGAGCCAACAAATTTGATGGGGATTGGCACCAAATGATTCCATTAGACTTTCAAAAATAATTTTTCTCAATCAACATGTCTGTAGTTTCATTGGTTATGGTTTCGTTCTACAATGAAGGGTGAAAAGTGGGTTTGGTAGTTGAATAAGAGAAATAATACACTAAAAGTGAGTTGGGGGGTAATTATAAATTTTTTAATTTTGTTTTAAACCTAATAAGGTCAAAATTGACATTGCATAATGAGGTAAATAAGTTATTTAATATTAAATTTTAATATGGGATGCATTTAATATTTTGTGAGATGCTAATAAAAAAAAAAAAAAAGATAACACAACTTTTGCTTTAAACATTTTAACTTTACAAAATTGCACTTGGATTTTTTTTTGTCAGAAAATTGCATTAGATCTTTATTCTCGTTCACACTCCCTTCCATATGAATTTGGTCGTGAAAAAGCATAGATGCATATTGTATGAATTTTCTTCCTTTCTTTAAAAAATATTGTCCACAAACATATCGATATTCTCGAATCAAATAATTCATATTTTCCATTAACAAAGAATATGAATATTTGCTTAGTTGGGAAAGAAGAGGTGACAAATGTTGACATGCGCACCCACTCACACCTAAACCTCCGACTCAGTACCCACACACGACACCGTTTCCAACAATCAACACGCACCGTGCATTTTTCCAAACTTCTCCACCTGCGACGTACGTCAGATCTACCAGTCTACACGATCAGGTTTCACCTTTAAAACCCCAAAATACCCCTACCCCACCTCAACGTCTCCGACCACAACGGACCAGTAAATACCCCTACAATTAAAAGGGCATATCCGGTGTAATAAAATTCCGAAAGCGACCCGACCCTGCGAGCCCTTTTTAATTCCCAATGCTCCCCGCTGTCGAACCCTTCTCCCAAAACCGTGCCCTCTTTCGGCATTTCACACCACGCTCGTTCCTCCCTCTCCCTCTCTGTGTTTTTCTTTGAAAATCTCTGGCCTTTCGTTCTCCGAAAACGCATTTCAAAAACCCTTTTCAAACTCCGTTTCCGTCTCCAAAACCCAGTTTTTCGTTTCTGAGAACGGTCGGAAAACAAAGCCCAAAATCCTTCAGGCATTGAAGCCTTTGAAGAGTTCGATTCGGAAACAGATACAAAAACCCCTCAGAAATCCGAGTGTTTTCCTCAGAAGGTAAGAACTGCGCTGTTTTTTAATCTTTCCTGCTGGGTTTTTAGCTGGCCATTTTTGTTATTTTCGTTTATTTAATTTATGCATTTAATTCATATTTTGGGGTTTGTGAAACGGTTTATTCTACATTATTTTTCTCTTTTTAGTTTTTAATTAGAGCTAAGGTCGGTGATTTTTTTTATATGTATTCCTCAAAATCCAAACGCCGTTTGTGAAGTTTTTCTGTTCATTTCTTCGATTTTTGCTTCTGGGTTTCTAAGAACACTTGTTGTTTTCTCATTGGAAAGAAAAAACACAAAGTAAGTTGCTTTTTTAATTTATTTTTCAGAAAATATCAATTATTTATTTTTTTATTTTTTTCAGTGTTTCTGATTTCTGGGTTTGTTTTGCAAGGTAGGAAAGACACCATTTCGTCCTCCGGCGGGTTGTCTTGTCTTGTCGACGTTCTGTTCGCTTGAGATTTACGTTACAATGAAGAGAAACTGAAACTGGTCGCATTTTCTCGTGATATTTCTAAGGTCTGTTGAATTGTATTTTACGCGAGATATTGTTTAATTGACCAGTTAGTGGTCAAAGCAAGGCTTGGTTTATGATGAATGGCATGATTAATTACCGGTTTGGGTCTATTTTTGCCCATGATTATAGGGTTATGTTCTGCTAAAGTGTTTGCTGGACCAGAATAGTGGTCCTGGACCCCCCCTGTTCCACACTTTGCATTTGTGATATGGTTTCTGTGTTTGCCAATGACTTTGCTTTGTTATATCTGTGTGGAACCCCCACCCTTTTGCTTTTGCAAATCTTATTGCTCAGAATAGTAAGAGATTTGTGGTGTCCAGCTTGTAGGGTTCAACGCAAGATCTGTAATCTTTTGTTTAACACTCATTTGAGGGAGTTCATGTTAAGATTAGTATGTCAATATTTGGTAGTGCTATTTGTTACCACATTTGCTGATCCACCTACTAACTATTGTCTTTCGTTAAGTGGGGTTTCCGCGAAACCCACTTTGGCAATGTAATCACTAAATGTGATAGTGTGACAACGACGCTTGTTATTTGAACTCAGTGAATTAAATTAGAAACATGGTTAAGTATGGCATTGAGAAATCTATATATGTATAATCTAACTTAACCTATATTTATATAATCTTAGTAATCTAGCTTCTTTTTAACTTTCTAATGGGTTAAGGCAATGAGTCACAAACGCAAAAAAATGGAGGGAGACGAGGTTTGTCAGTATACGGGGAGCAGGAAAAATGTGGCAGTGGGAATCAAATATTTGCCCGTTGGATTACAATAATAGTCTGCACGTCATGTAAAATCTGGCTCAGATCTCTATGAGTTTTTTCTGGGCCATGAAGTGTTATCCAGTGGGGGTGATTGTAATTTCATGTTCTTATATGGTGACGGTGTGATGCATTGGGGAAGGACAAGGAAAAGAATCCACCGCCTTTGGTTGTACTAAAAAATCATGATTGTGGTGTAGATGATCCAAAATTCTTAATCAGATTATCACTATGATGGGTCCCACGAATTTCAGATTTTCTGATTTTGCGGAGATTACTCTTTAGGACCTCACTGTTGTTCTACGTGGGGTGCCTCAGGGAATCCTAGGGTTGATGCCCTTTATTTTATTTTGTATATCGAGCTCCGGACCTCGGATGCAAGGATGTAATGTTCTTGACCAACCGAGCTACTAACCCTTTGTGTTTGTGTTTTTTTGTTAATTTGGTTAGACAAGGTTTTTTGTGTCCTGCAATTACATTTTAATTGTTATAATCTACTTGTTTAGTCATCTAACACTTGGAACTCACTTGACAAGGCCAATTTTGACTTGGAGAAAAAATTAGGCAACCATTGATGTGTGTGGCGTGGGTCCGACGGCGGGGCCCACAAACACAAAAAGGGGTTTGGAAATTAGCTCCTTTTTATTTTCTAAGATGAAGGGTGCAATGCACTTACCTAAATTTTGTTGACTTGAATAGTAGGAATGACCCGACGGTAGAGCTGGGAAGAGAATGATAAAGAATGTTAAGAGCAGGAATCACCACTAACCATGCCCTCCAAATTCTAATTAAGTTATTAAAAAGTGTATTATTGTTTAATCTTTGATCTTTGGTGTGTAATGCATGTGTCATTGTAACGGAGGTTCCCAGTGTTCCATTGATTCGCACTTTGAATTTTGATTTATACGCGTCTTTTGATCCTGTCTGCTGAATATCTCTTCCATAGCTTCTCCCTCTTCGTGTTCTTCACTCACTCTGCATTGCTTTCGCTTTTTCCCGCGTTTTCAAATCTACTTTTGTTACACTTTCGAAAGAAAGCAAATCGGAAACTCTTAAAAGTTGAAATAGCAAAACTAAAAGAAACATTCACTCCTCAATCAATGGCCGTGGTCTAAGTGTTAAAGCATATTGCTTTTTTAGCTTTCCTTCAACACTCTCATCATTGTCATCATTAGCATCCCCGTATCTTTATTCCTTTGTTTCTTTAAATTTTTTTTTTTTTTTTGGGATAGAATCTCTTAGATCTTCATCACTCTATCTATCCCCTCTCCATCATTTGTGATCTTTGTTTTGCAGATGGATTCGGTGAGACCATCATCTGTGACCCCGAATAAGAGTAGATTCGCACGTACTATTGCTAAAGTTCTTCATCTTCGGGCTGCAACAGGTATTGCCCCAGTCGATGGGGTTCAAAAAGTCAAGTCCCAAGAATTCAGAATTCCGAAGGTTAAGTCCCAAGAATTCGGAATTCCGGACGTTAAGTCCCAGGAGTTCGGAGTTCAGAAGTTTAAGTCCCAGGAGTTCGGAGTTCAGAAAGTAAAGTCCCAAGAATTCAAAGTTCAGAAGGTTAAATCCCAAGAATTTGGAGGTCATAAGGTAAACTACCAAGAAAATGGAGTGCAGAAGGGGAAGTCTCAAGAAATTGGAATTCAGAAAGTCAAGTCCCAAGAAAATGTCAAAAATGACCGGAATGGTGGTAAGGTTATGGTTGGTCGGTCTGAGTCATTTGACAAGAACAATGAGGAGCTTCAGGAAAGAGTCGCCCTTGAGGCTCTTGTAGCGAAACTGTTTGCAAGCGTTTCATCTGTCAAAGCTGCGTATGCACAACTACAGTATGCTCAGTCTCCCTATGATGGTGAAGGAATCCAAGCTGCTGACAAAGAGGTAGTCTCCGAGTTGAAGAACTTGTCTGAGTTGAAGCGGTGTTTCTTAAAAAAGCAGTTTGATCCTAAACCTGAGACTACACTGGTTTTGGCTGAGATCGAGGAGCAGAAGAGTGTTCTAAAAACCTATGAAATCATGGGGAAAAAGTTGGAATCTCAGGTGAGGCTTAAGGACTCTGAAATTGTGTTTCTTGGAGAAAAGTTAGAGGAGGCCAAGAATCAGAATAAGTTGCTGGAGAGAAGATTAAACCAGAGTGGGCAGCTACATGTGTACAATCTTCAGTTATCTGGTTCAAGTCCTAACCATTTCATTACTGTTCTCCGACACACAGTAAAGTCCATTCGGAGCTATGTTAGGATGATGATGGATGATATGAAATCTACCGGTTGGGACATTCATGCAGCAGCTAAAGCGATTGACCGCAATGTGGTTTATTGGAAAGAAGACCACAAGTGTTTTGCATTCGAACACTTTGTTTGCAAGGAAATGTTCGATGCTTTCCAGCATCCCAACTTCTTACTCCCAAATGAGTCCTTGCCAGAGAAAAAGAAACAACAGCAGCAGCTCTTTTTTGTGAGATTTACGGAGCTCAAATCAATGAAGCCGAAGGAGTACCTTGCCCAGAATCCCAGATCAGCATTTGCTAAGTTCTGCCGTGTCAAGTACTTACGACTGGTGCATCCCAAGATGGAAACATCATTTTTCGGCAATCTGAATCAAAGAAACCTCATCAATGCAGGTGAGTTTCCGAGCTCTAATTTCTTTACTTCGTTTGCTGAAATGGCGAAACGTGTCTGGCTCCTGCATTGCTTGGCCTTCTCCTTCAATCCTGAAGCCGCAATCTTCCAAGTAAGCAAGGGATGCCGATTTTCAGAAGTGTACATGGAAAGCTTAGCTGACGAAGCGTTCCTCTCAACAACATCTGAACCGCAGGTGGGATTCACAGTTGTTCCGGGATTCAGACTCGGTAAATCTGTCATTCAGTGCCAAGTTTACCTCACTCGGTTGCAATCCGCTCCGACAAAGCAAAGGTAAACCGTGATTGATCGTCGGCAAAACTCGGGCCCCACAACATCGGGTTTACTTTCCTGTTTGGATCTCGGGACGAAGTTGCGGGGCACTTCCAACTTGGTCACTTTTGGTAATTTCATCCTCCATACTTTGAAAAAGGGAAAGCGCGTTGGACCGTTGTGTTGGAAGCTACCTTTTGAATCTTTTTTTATATTTTTTTTGCATCATGTCCTAGTTTTTTAAATTTTCTTCCAAGGACATTCCAAAATTTTGTTAATATTAGGACAAGTGACAGAGGGATTGTCTAGCTGTTTTGCATCATTGTTAACCGGACATGGGCAGGTTTCTTAATTATGTAAATAACAATATATAGTCGGAATTTTTTGTGTTCCTATTTCTTTTACTTGTCTCCCTGCTTTTCATTTGCACCAATGGTTGCAATGGATTGGTATGTCATACATGCTGCATGGTCAATTTGGGTTGGCCCATCGCTGACTGTGAGATTCACTTTAATCAATAATTAATTGTGATGCTCGTGTTTGTGAAATTCAAATTAGTCATTTAGCGGTTCACAGTTGTTTATCATTACACGTAAAATCAATCTATGAGTGGATAGTGGCATCAATCTACCACTTTCAGTTTGATTCATATTAATCAACAGGTCACGGTTGTTCAACAATAAAGGTGACATGAGTTTACTCGTTAGTCTACGAGTGGACAATGACATTCGTTTACAAAGTTCAAATATGTAAATTCTTATTGATCAACAGTTTACAATCATTCTATGTTACAAGTGGCATTTAGTCTACTCGTAGATGATAAACATATATCAATGAGTAATACTAGTCGTTCAACACTACACGCAAATTCCACAATTTCTTGAAAAATTGTGGAATTTACGTTAATCAATTAGCGATTCACTAGTCGTTCAACACTACACGCAACATCAATCTATGAGTGGACGGCGGCCATCAATCTATGAGTGGACAGTGGCATCAATCTACGACTTTCAGTCTAACTCACATTAATTAACAGTTCATAGTCATCCATAATTGTAAATGGCATGAGTTTACTTGTAAACGATGACATGTTTATAAAGTTCAAACTCTGTCAATTTTTATTGATCAACAGTTCACAATTGTGTCACATTACAAGTATCATTAGTCTACTCGTAAATGATAACAATACATCTACGAGTAATGTTGAAAATCAATGCCACCTTCATTGAACTGAGCAAAAGCTGATTTTATTTCTCTGCACTCTGCAATATGCATTCATGACCAATTGATGCATGATACACATTGGTCTATAAAACAAACAATAAAAAAATAATAATGCACCACTTGAGGGGGTCCCACATAGTACGCCTACTTGCTATTTAATTTTATGTGGCTGGTCGGTGGATATGGGGGGCCATTTTATTGGCAAATTTGTCTTATTTCTCTGTGGAAGGGTGTATGTGGCACTTGCGTAGAGTCTTTGATCACGCGGTGTGTTCCCCTCCCCCTATGCAAAAATACTTGATTTTGCTATGGCTGGTCGTTTTTGCAGGAAGGGTCACATTATTTGGCTGTGGAAAATGATGGAATTAATGAGATTTCGGCAGTTGTGGCATTAACTATAGGAGACACATTGACATGGCATATACCCTCTCGACAGTGAAATTTCTAACCCTATCACATAACGTCTTCAGATTCCGATAATTGTGGATAATATAACAAGTAAATCAACGGAGTGGTATTCTACTCGTTTGAAACTGCTTTTTTTTTTTTTTAGTAACACTTCTCTCTATAAGCACTTTAGTAAAATCGTTTTGATTGTAAGTATATTATAATTTTAATAAAAATGCAAGTGCTTAATGAAAAAAAAAACACTTAAAGTGGTTTCTAAAAAAAAAAATTTTAGGATTTAAGATAAAGTTTGAGATACTAGCATCTTAAAATTCTAGTTCCATGTAAATTTTTATCGTGGCTTGTGAGTGACTTGCAACTATCGATGCCTATATTGCTTGGATTTCACTGGAAACCGTCGCGCATGCACAATGTCCTTATGGCCTAAATCTAAATGGTTGAGATACATAAATTTGCATCAATAGTCAAAAGTTACTTGTGTACTTATCCTTTCACCATCTTTACCGAGTGCATATGCGTATACAAGTAGCTGCAGAGGAGGTTGACGACAGGAATTATAATAATAATTTTTATTATTATGTCCTGATATTACACCAAAATTTTTGGAATTAGATTTGCTTCGGACCTTAGTATCCAGACCTTAAGGATCAATCTATTTGAGCTGCTGATTGGTGTGTAAAAGAAATAAGAGCCGTTGGTGTGTGTGTGGTGAGCCAGGAAAATGAGTTAATGAAGACCGTTAAATTCAATTTGTGCAACTCAAATTAGTTGATCCTTAGGCTCCGGACACTAAGGTCCAGAGTGGATCCAATTCTAAAATTTTTAGCCGTTAGTTTGGGATATGATTTGATGTATGCATTATGAACGTCTCATATCAGATGATGGGGATTTTTGCAGTGTTCAATTTGAATTTTCAAGACACTTCGAATTTTTGAAGTCTCATTCTCAGTGTTTCCTTCCTCATCTCATTCTCATGGTGTTCTTGCGGCGCTCAATTGAACAGGTTGCTTTATGTGCAGCTAATAATTTTTTTTACACGAGTCACCAACAGAGTCGGTGGGATCGAAAACTATACATGGCACTTTAACGAGTATTAAGTAATCTAGTTACATTGTTATTTTTAAAAACTATATATCTTTTCAAATTAAATAAGAAACAACCTCTAAAAAGCTAACGGTAAGTATAAACAATCTCATCCTTGGCTAACGACATTTCTCAACTTCTGGTAAGCACTCGCATTACATTGTTCAGTGTATATGGTGAAGTAATATTCTAGAGAGAATCATTATAATGGGAAAATGTATAATACTATACTATGGTGCGTTCAGTGCAACGCGAAATCTATGAGTGATACTTAAGGAAACAATTAATATACCTTTCTCGTCTTCATCGAACCCTTTAATTTGAGGTTTGATGCAGGGACGGAGGAGAGATTTTTTAGTGTGACTGTCACACGATGTGGTACATCACGTGTCCCCATATAAATGGTGAGATATGTGTGTTAAAAGGTTAAAAACTTAAAAATAAAAAATTTTCACCACTTATATAAAAACACGTGGTGTACCATCTATTTATTGGCTACTAGGTTTAACAATAAAGAGCTTGTAGTGCATTGGTGAGTGGTGTTTAACAGTTTAATCATACAAAAACCGATTCATCTTTTGGATTAGGCAAACAAACAAGAAGTTTCACAAATTCTAGGAAATTAAATTTCATTGTTTCAAATTCCATCGTTTTGATTAGTAATACTAAATGAAAAAATGCTATCAACCTTCTCACTTAGTTTTGAGTGCTAGTGAAGTACACCTGAGAATAAAAGTGAAAAGCCTGAAATAAGAAAGTTGCTGGCCCTCTCATCTTAAATTCCTTCATCCAAACTGATTGGTGACTACAACTTGCGCACATCCGCATAAATGGGAAAGGTAGACTCACATAGTTTTGCATGAACTTGTGTCGAATTTCTTCACCATGATTATTTAAAGAAAGCCAAAAACAATACAAAGTTATGTCACTCATGTTCCATCAGAACAGAAAGGATTCCGTTCACAACATTTGGTAATGGTCTAACCTTTTGCTTTGAGTTCCACAAGTTCAGTTTGGCAAGTTTTTGATGCCCTTGGGAACTTTGAAAACTCCTGCTCCAACTCCATTTGTTTTTCCGTAGGGATACTTCTAGTATAAACTGTCACTTTCTTCAAAACTACACCATGCTCCAGCATGTACTTTGCCACTTCCATCTCATCTGGCCGCCATTTGTATCCTCGTACGGAAATAGACTTCAGGCTTGACAACAAACAAATAGGCACAATGTTCGGTGGACACCATTCATGGAGCTCATTGTTGTCATCAGCAGTATAACATTCGACGTTCTAAGCATATTAAAAGAAACATTAATGAGTTAAAGATATTCTTCGAAAACTGTATATAAGTAACCATGCATATAACACGAGCGTAATCTTTTCTATGTGCTTACATTTTCAAAGACAAGATTCTCCAGATTGGGTGAGATCTCGAGCAACTTTATCAATGATTTCCAGGAGCAGCACGTTTTAAGAAGTACTTCCAAGTGGTTCAAATTATAAAATGTAGGCAAAAGATGTTGAAATTTAGGATCAGAATCCTACAAGAATGACAAAGAAAATAGATGTATCAAAGACTTAATCACAATTTACAGACTTCCTCAAAAAATGCAGCATTGCCATTGATTAATTTCAGCACGTAAACAAGAAGGTTATTGGGGACGAAGAGAAACAACTTAGAGAATACTTACTCTCAAAATTGGAGCTGAAAGAGAGAGATACTTAACATTGATAATTCCTGCGAAAAGCCTATGCATGCGAGCAGCATAATCATTGTCGAGGTGATCATTCTGACATCTCTTATGAATTTGGACAGCAATCTTGGCTGTGCTTAGGGATTTTTCATTCTTCAATTCATAGTCCACCAAAAAATTGTCAAAGAGATCCAACTTTTCAAGATGTGGAGCATTAATATTAATAGAAACGTAGTTCTTAGCACCACCCCGCAAACATATTCGTAGTCTTCTGAGTTTAGGTGCAGAGACAGTGAAGCTCAAGAGGAGACGTTCTTCTCTGGCGATTTTCGAAATAAGTCCATCTATAACCAAATCTTCAAGTGCTGGACAACATGAAAAAAGTTTCTTTATTGAGTCAGCATTCGGGCAACAGACTGTAACATGGAGGATTTTGAGATGTGGAAAACAATCAGAGTTTGAGGGAATAGCAATAAGATCGAATTGCAGCCTCAGCTTCAAAACCGACAAAGTCTTGCACATGAAAAGGCTTTGAGGAAACTCATAAAGCTTCCCTGGATTTGGAAGCAAATAAAGAAGGAGCTCAACAACATTACGCCTAAGAGCAGTGCAAACCCAATCATGAACACGAGAAAAATAATCATCCACCCCGTAACATACAAGTTCGAACCGCTGAATGCTTGACGATCCACTATGGGAAAGTACTTGATCCACAAATCCTGCACTACGGCCTTTGTCAGATTCCGGGTTTTGTACATTGAACTTAAGATTGGGAAAAGAAACCCACACATCCTTCCATCTGTGTGATAAACCGCTGGTCTTTATAGTCTCGGTTATATCAAGGAAGGAAAGAATGTGACAAAGAATGCCATCTGGTAATCTACTGATCCTATCTTCACTGCACGTTTGACAAGGCATTGAGTTCGAACCCATTTAAGATGTGCTAGACATATATATATTTCCTGAAAAATATAAAATGTTAGGTTTTTGATCGAAACCTTCTTAGTCAATATTTAACAATCTAGCTACTGTAGAAATTAAAAGGCAATATCCCAAAGGATTTTCAGCATGTTTAATTAGCTTTCGATTAAACAGGAGAATTATAAGTGGCAATATGCACCCATGTTTTCTTTTCGTTTATGCGTTTCGTTAAACTGTTATCCAAACAGGTCAGGATGTAGAAAGGAATAAAAAGTTCAGAGTGTAGAAAAAATACCTGGATATTGTTCTCGATTTGTGGACCCAATACGCAATATGATTTTAGCTTTTGTGCCCTAATTTGTTTGCCAGCTGAGAGAGTATGAAAGAATTGAATACATATCAGATCGTGGGTCTTAGAATAAACTGAAATTATAAGGAGCAAACCGGATAGAACTTTAAACCTAATGAAAATCTACAGCCCTAAACACAATTAGGCAGCTGCGTCTCTCATTGCCGCAGATCGCACTACCAGTCTGCACCATATCCATGGTATAACCAATCGATTTTTTTAAGGTGTTCGATGGTTTTGTGTTCTTCAAATTCCCTAATATCATAGGGTTTGATGCCCCATCAGATTTAGCTTGTGATCTACCAAAGGGTAGAAATTTTGTAGTAATCAAATGAAGAACCAAATCAACTATTTAAATGATATTTGAGGAACACCACAGAGAATAGAAAACCACGAGTTTAATGATATCTGATATGATTACCATGTTTTGTTTTGTTTTTTTGTTTTTTTTTTATATGAAATTACCATGTTTTGTTTTGTTTTGTTTTATATCGAAATTACCATGTTTTGTTGGTTGAAAAAAATATGCATAAAGAATCTTTGTTCTCCAAGTAATACATTTATAATTAGGAAAGTATTTAAAAGATATTGTCGAATTCTACACAATCACACTCTTAGAAATTAGGACTGCAACAAAACCAATTTTTTTTTACAATTAATCAAATATTATCAGGTAATGCTGAGAAGATAATCAATTTTTTAAATCATATGACGTAGTTGTTGATAATTAGATTAGAGTTAAATTTGGTCTAATAAATTGGTCTACCTAGCATTATGCAACTTCATATTACATTACAATATATTTTTTTTAAAGGGGGACAATTGGTGGTAAATCATGGTTATCCACCAATTCCGGGAGCTGGGAAGACTCACAGAGGTATCTCCCTTTGACCACAAGTTTGGCTTCCTCACCAACATCGGGTTTAGAACCCAAGACCTCAAGTTTTTAATTTGAAGGAAGCCTCGCAATCCGTCCCTTATCATTGGGCCACCAGCTCGTGGTTATATTACATTACAATTTGACTGGGTCAACTTTCACCTGCTTTTCAAGGTCACTCTCGTCTTTTTACTGGACTAGGTCTAATTTGATGAGTTTTATAGAAAATAGAGGGGAAGTGCAGAGCTTCTCGAGGGAGAAAAGATCATATGATTAGCACCATTATCCTGTGTCAAATGAGTAATGCAACACTTACTATTTATTTGTACCATCACTTGTACAATCTCTCTAATAGAGGTAGGGCTATGATACAAATGATGGTACAAATAGATAATAAGAAAAACATTTTTGGCGTCAAATTTAGAACTCTTTGTGTAGGCATTCATAAAATAAAAAAAATATTCTACAAATATCCAATTGGAATAGTTACCCGGATTAAAGAGATTCTCAATCTCGATCGTGGGATGAAAGAGATTCTTAATCTTGGTCCATTCTTAATGAACAATACTTAGCTACTTAAGGATGAGTATAACCTCTTACTCAAACTTCTTCGTATTCAAATCACATAGTTTTGTACTTATATCAGAATTGGTTATATTATGAAACACATTGTAAAGGTCATTTCTCTAAAAAATGAATTAAAAATAAATGAATTAAACATAAGGTCGTTTAGTCAATCTATAATAACAAATACATAGGTTGTTCGTAATGCTTTTACCAATTTCGTTCATCTGTTTTTATACAGTTCGATGATTAAACGATCTTAGTTTTAATTGATTATTTGCAGAGATAATCTTTATAGAGTGATTTATAATATGAGCGGTTTTAATCATAAATGTGAAGTTCTATGAGTTGACAACGAGCAGTTTTGAGTAAAAACTACTCCTATTCATCCTTTGAGTAGCCAAATATTGTTCATTCTTAATTCGTCACTAAACTTCATACTGGTGAGGTGGTGAGCTTCCGTTGTGCTTATTTTTTTTTATTTTTTATTTTTGTTAAGATTAACTTTTATTTTTATTAGTCTATTGATATAATTTCATAACTTATATACTTTTGGATAATACTTGTGTTCTCCATATAGGGGAATCCAGGAATGCACATATTCCACCATTTGTGAATAATGTATCTTCTTAAACGCCCCAACTCCGATATCCCCAAACATCAGGGTAGGCACGTGCTGACTGACACCCAAGGGTGACGAAGCCATTTTAAACACACATATAACTAAAACATGTAATTAGAAAGAGTTACACTAATGCAAAATCATGTTCAGATCATACGACTAATCAAGAATAATGTGAAAGAATTAATATATACAAGGTATGAACTGAGGAATGGGTCCTACCCTAAGAAGACTTGAAGGTCCCTACGCGAAATTGCCCTAACGCTGGGACTGTGTGCCTCGATTCAAACTCTTGAGGGGGCACAAAACCGAAAAGGTGAGTGGACCAAAGTTTATATTAATAATACTAATAATAAGAAAACCATTTTCTTTATGAACATACTAACCCCTTATTTTGAAAACACATATAATACTACATAATAGGTTTTTTGAAAACCCTAGCATGCAATGGAAAATGTTCGTAAAATATGTACGTGTAATACCATGCTCAATAATGGTGCAATCATCACCAGAAGGCAAATCCATAAATCTCATCAATACTGTACTCTCTAGGGGTATCATAGTCGCCTTAGGCAGTACCTGTCCATCACTCGAATGTGAAGCTATACGACACTGGGTTACGCTAGTGAATAAACATGGTAGGCCCCATCACTCGAAGGTGAAGCTGTATGACTCCAGGTTACGCCGGAGAAGAAATGCATAACATCACATACACCGACACTAGCCCCGGGCTAGTGAAGCTAGGGTATATCATCAATATCATCAACTCCTCATTCGCCCGAAAGCAATACCTGTGTATCTCCAAAGGTGAAGTTGTACGACACTGGGTTATGCTAATGAAGAAACATGGTAGGCCCCATCACCCGAAGGTGAAGCTGTACGACTCTGGGTTACGTCGGAGAAGAAATATATAACATCACAAATATCCTCAACTATGTCCTATGGCCATAGACATCTACATACCCACGTTGTGTGGATGTGTTGTATGGTAACCCGCTAGATAAGCACCAAGAAACATACCTCAAAAATCATATCCAAATCCGGAGCTCAAAAGCTTAAAGCCTTATCTCATCAATCCATGATAGCACATATTCATAAAATCCGTAAAATAAATCATATTCGTGAATCCATAGAATTTCATAAACGAAAATCCCATAATTTATAACTCATATTCGAAAATCGTAATATAAGTCATATTCATAATCCATAGAGTTTCATATAGGAAAATCTAATAATTCATAACCTTTCGTAAAACGTAAGTGCGATAAAACATAAATATCTCGTAAACCATAAATATAGAAATTCGTAAAGCATAATATAAAACGTACTCAAATCATGAAATATGTAATGCATGCTAGGCTAATATTTTATAAAAATATGTAAGTTTAGAAGGGGTCCACTCACAGATGTTTTATTGCCTGGGAACCGCTCGAGCTAGCGAGGATGACGTCGCTTCCTGCCAACGCACCTAAACACAATTAGGGACCATTTAGTATAACTCTACAAAAACATTAGAATTTGAGAAAACGGACTGTGGAATCAGATTAGGCATGTCGAAAAACCTAAGGAAGGACCTTGGGTTTCACCCCACGCACTATTGCACGAGCCGCCACATGGTGGTGGTCGGCAGCCCCGACTCGTCGGAAAATTCAACAACTCTAAAAATTCCTAAATTTTATAGGAATGAAAATCTCAATGAGAGGAACAAGTTTCATACCTGGGACGAAAACCAATTCGGCCGGGAAGTAGCCTAAAAACCACCATGAACAGTCGTAACCCTGAAAAATGGTGAACCTCAATTCATCCACTCTGGTGATCTGCCGCCCCCAAACTTGTTTGGGGTTTGTTCCTAGGCTCAAGAGGTGTCTAATGGTGGTGGTAATCAAAGGTGATCGTTTCAGAAATGGTGGATCGCCAGCTAGGGTTTCATGGCACCAATAAAGGTGTTTTTCGTGGAATTATGACGAAATCTCGTCAATTTTGGCTATAATTGGATGATGGGATGTTGTGGTGATGTTTGGTGGTGATTGGGGGTTGAAGAAAGCTGGAAAAATCGATGGAAAACCTGTCGGAACAGTTGCAGGGAAACGAGTCAGATATCGGGTTGCCGAGTCTGAAACGGTTAGAAGGTGAAATTCGGTTTGGGTGGTTTTTGTCTCCCTCCTTTCCCCTCCTTAATCTCTCTTCTGATTAGTCCATCACTCCTTCATTTCCTTCATTTCTTCTTTCGTTTCTCCATCCATTTATCACTGCCCTTCATCCTGGCCACACACGTGGCACCATATTGATGTTCCAACAAAATCTGAAGCCTTCCAGATTTATGGTCAAATTACCATTTTGCCCTCATCTTCGTTCGTTAATAACTCTTTCGTTATAACTCCAAATTTGACTTCGCTTCTGCCCACGCGTCCGTAACGCTGAGTACTACAAGAAAACGCTAAGGAAATGGATCTTACATGACACGACAAGACGGTCAACAAAAGTCAATGCATTTTCCTCGAAGGGCATTTTCGTAATTTCACATTTTAAAAAGGGTAAATTACATAGTAGCCCCTCAGGTTTGAGATCTATTGCAATCTTATACAACATCTTTAAAACATTTCACTTTCATACCTCAAGTACTATTTTATTTCAATTTCATACAACCGTTAGATTTTCCATCCATGGATCTGTTAAATGCTGACGTGGCTGCCACATATATGACACGTGGCTGCCAAATGTCTGCCACGTGGCAAATAAAATAATTTTTTAATTTTTTTAAAAAAAAACCTGAAATTGGAAGAAGAAAAAAGAAAGAAAGAAAGAAAGAAAGAAAGGGATCGAACCCAAAAGAAGAAGAGAAGAAGAAAGAGAAAGAAGAAGAAGAAGAAGAAAAAAAAAAGAAAAAAAAAAGAAAGGGGTCCGAACCCAGAAGAAGGAGGAAGAAGAAGAAAGAGGAGGAGGAGGAGGAAGAAGAAGAAGAAGAAGAAGAAAGAGGAGGAGGATGAGGAAGAAGAAGAAGAAAAAAAAAAAAAAAGGGATCGAACCCAGAAGAAGGAGGAAGAAGAAGAAGAGAAGAAGAAAGAGGAGGGAGGAGAAAGAAGAAGAAGAAGAAGAAAAAAAAAAAAAGAAAAAGAAAGGGGTCCTAACCCAGAAGAAGGAGGAAGAAGAAGAAGAAGTAGAAAAAAAAAAAAAAGGGACCGAACCCAGAAAAAGGAGGAAGAAGAAGAAGAGAAGAAGAAAGAGGAGGAGGATGAGGAAGAAGAAGAAGAAGAAGAAGAAAAAGAAAAAAAAAAGAAAGGGACCGAACCCAGAAGAAGAAGGAGGAAGAAGAAGAAGAGAAGAAGAAAGAGGAGGAGGATGAGGAAGAAGAAGAAGAAGAAGAAAAAAAAGAAAAAAAAGAAGAAAGGGACCAAACCTAGAAGAAGAAGGAGGAAGAAGAAGAAGAGAAGAAGAAAGAGGAGGAGGGAGAAGAAGAAGAAGAAAAAAAAAAAAAAAAAAGGGGTCCGAACCCAGAAGAAGAAGAAAGAGAAAGAGAAGAAGAAGAAAGAGAAAAAAAAAAGTGGCAGATATGTTTTTTTTTTAAATTAAAAAATTATTTTATTTGCCACGTGGCAGACATTTGGCAGCCACGCGTCATATATGTGGCAGCCACGTCAGCATTTAACAGATCCATGGATGAAAAATCTAACGGTTGTATGAAATTGAAATAAAATAGTACTTGAGGTATGAAAGTGAAATGTTTTAAAGATGTTGTATAAGATTGCAATAAACCTCAAACCTGAGGGGCTACTATGTAATTTACCCTTTTAAAAATGATAAAATTCGTAATATTTGTGGACTGGTCGTTACATCGTCACCATATAAACTTCATAAACAAAATCATTTAATTTATAAATCTTCATTTGAAGATCATTCATATAAAAAAATTAATCAATCAAAGATCGTTCATCATGAATATGTTACTTGGTACTCACACCGTCAATTTGTTCTATAAATTTGGATGACGAAACGATCTTTGATTCAAATAATTTTTTAGAGATGATCTTCAAATAAATATTAAATAATTCCAATTATGAAAATTTATATGGTGAAATATACATTATTCAAGAATGGTGGAACATGTTCCCATACTTTTATATTGTTTTTTGGGTGACTTTGGATGCGGTCCCTATTTGTCAACGTTCTTTGACTGAAATGCAATAATGCATTTCTATATAGATTATTATAATTTTTAAATTAAAATTTGATATTTGTAGTTACTTATATTAATGAGATTTTAAATAAAATTCATGATTCGTGGGATTGAAAATATTAAAAAATAAATTATCTTATATAAAAAAGTATAATTTATCTTAATGAGAAATTATACTCAAATAAAACCCATGATTTGTCATTACTTATATTAATGACATTTTACATACAAAAAATTGGTGATTTAGTACATTTTACATACAAAAAGTTGGTACATTTTATACAAAAAGGTGGTACGTTTGTCACATCCCAGACTCGACTCCGCCGTAACACGATATTGTTCGCTTTGAGCTTACCATTCCCTTAAGGTTTTGTTTCTGGAAACTCACGCAAGAACTTCCCAGTGGGTCACCCATCCTGGGATTGCTCTCGTCCGAACTCGCTTAACTTCGGAGTTCCAATGAAACCTGAAGCTAGTGAGCTCCCAAAAGGCCTTGTGCTATATGGAGGGAATCATGTACATATAAGGCACATCATCCCCTTTCCGTTGGCCGATGTGAGATGTTACACGTTTTATATAAAAAAAATGGGTACATTATATATTTTATATATATATATATATATATATATATATATATATATATATATATATATAAAACAATGGGTATATAGGTCTTACATTAAAAAATGGGTACATTTTATGTAAAAAATTGTACTTACAAAAAAAAAAAAAAAAGGTACATCTTGCATAAATTATGGGTACAAATAAAAAGTTAAAAAAATATGAGTACAAATAAAGTTTGAAAAATATGGACATGAAAAGAAATAAATATAGTACAAACTAAAATTGAAAAGAAAATTGGTACAATTTGAAAAACAAAAGGTTGCACATTAAAATGGGTACAAACTAAAAATAAAAATATATCAAATGTAACGTTTCTAACACTAAATGAATATATTTAGAAATAAGATTTAATTATCTTGTCATGTAAAATATTTTATTATTGAAATAATTAATGACATGTATTTTTTTTTTTGAAGAATTAATGACGTGTATTAAAACCAAGGGATCCTTGATAAAAATTTGAAAATGAATAAGATTTCAATCAATGGAGTTGAAAAATGAGAGATGGAAACCTAATTTCTCATTGTTTTTTTTACAAGCAATGTTCTACTTTGATTCATTAAATTGTTCGGAGAAGGATTGCAACTTGAGTATATGAAGTGTAGTATATTGTTTTAATCAACTAGACTAAGTTAAGTCCACATGCAGGGCCGGCCCTGAGAATTTAAGGGCCCTTAGGCGAGCCTTCGAAGTGGGGCCCTAAAATTCTTTGATCCCCGGTCCTTTGTATATTGATTTGTATAAAAAAGAATTCGCTAAATACATAAAAGTTCTATTTTCATCAAATATCATTAAAAATTAATATCAAAAGAAGATAAATATACAAACATTATTTAAACATTACACGATTCACGTTTTTAGACACAAATGTACTAAATGTTTGCAGTCAAGAGTTTAAGATTGAGAGTGAAGAACAATAAAACTTGATGATTACGAGAGTAAATAACAATAAAACTTGATTGACGAGTATAATAAATTCAACGCCAATTGTTTTTCTTGTATTTTTTTCTTCTAAAATCAACATCACACTAACGAATTGAATATTAAAATAATCCATTGAATAAAAAGTCATTGAAAAGAAATATATAAAATTCAAAGTTTTGATTATCTTAAAGTACAATCTTTAAGACCATATGATAGTTGGTTTAAATATTCAATAGAAATGGAGAGAATAGGAAATTGGTTTAAACATTCGATAGAAATTGAGAGAATGAGAAGTTGAAAGAAAAAAGATTGCAAAAAGACTTGAGTTTTATAACTTTATATGCATTTGGACAGATGGATTGGCAGTAAATTTGAAAAACAAGAAAAATTAAGAAAAATCTAGTGACTGAAATGCAGCTTCGTGTTTCAAACTCAACACCCCAAAGAAAAATGAAGCCAATATTTTCACTGCACTAACAAATGAACTATGATATTTCTTACTATTTTTTGGGCTACCCTTAGGGCCGGGCCTGTCCACACTCCACATGCTTCTATTAATTTACACAGGCCAACAGGAAAGTTGATGGGATCTAAGGAGAAGGAGTACCTTGGCTATTTGAAAATAATTCAAGTCCACCAAAAAAGAAAATAGAAGAGGAGGAAGAAACTCAAGTATATAAAACTTTAATAGAAAATAATGCATCCATTTCTAACAAATTTAACAAGGGTTGTGATACCCGCATATTTTTTTATTTTTTTTTACTTCTCACACACCCCTTATTAATTTATGTCATTTGATCTTCTTCAATTCATTCGATTCGACGATCGGAAATTAAGAGGGTATGTGAGAAGTAAAATGAGATATGTGAATAACATACACCATTCAACAATTGAGATATAAGGTTATCAACTGGCGAAGCATCGCATAAGTGCATGACGAAAATAGATATTGTCTCCTAAGTTAAAGGCAAATATGTTCCCAAAATATTAGTCCTCCAAAACTAACGATGCTAAACAGAAAACATAAAGAAAGTTAAAAACAGGTGCAGATAATAAATTCATGTTTTACAACAAAGAAAGGCAAAGGACCCATTCCTCGAAAATGGAATCATATAAAAACCTAGATGTCATTTCTCCAGGAAATCAATTTGACAAGTCATCGAACCCTTTGAGAACATTGAAATATCTTGACACAGCTTCATCTTGTGATCTGCACGAACGGCACTCGTATAAAATGTCACCTTATCCAGGACTTCACCATGCTTCAACAAGTACTTTGTCACTTCCATCTCATCAGGCCGCCCCTCGATTCCCTGTATGGATATAGTCTTCAAGTATGACGACAAGCAAACAGGCACAAACTCAGGTGGAACCCATTCACGTGCCGAGTCCTCCAAGGGATGATCCGCCTTACATCTCTTGTTCTAAAGAATATTACAAAAAATAATGAGTGAAGTTGAAATGTTCGAAAAATTCAACACCCTTATTTACCATTCATTTAGATTCTAGAGCAAAGGTAAATCCACAAATACTTACAGTTGTGAAATCAAGATATTCCAGATGGGGCGACATATTGAGCAGATCTATGAGAGCTTTCCAACTGCAGCAAGTGTCAAGAAGTAACTCCAAGTGGTTCAAACGATTCAGTTTAGGGAAAGGGAAATTATCTTCAGTGTAGCAGCCAGGATCCTACAGTAATCATGAAGTATTAGAGGGCAATCCAATATTTCATGAAAATTTAAATTCCAGCAAGTTAAAAGGCTATCAAACACTAATAAGGGAATAAGTTGAAGTTACAGAAAACTTACCCCAAAAATTGGAGCTGAAAGTGACAGAAATTTCACATTGATAATTCCGGCAAAAAGCTTCTGCAGACGATAATCCCAACCAAGTTCATAGTCATCGTGCCCAGACTTGTGCACATCTTCGAGATTAATGTTTGCTTTGCTCAGTTGATTTGCATTGAGGTAATAGTTTGCAAAAAAGTCTTCCTCCAGATCAAAAGTTTCAAGATTTGGAGCATTGACTTCGAAAGAAATATTGGACCCAGTTTCTTCCCACGGTTCGTCTTTGACCAAATATATTTTGAGTCTTTTCAGTTTAGGTGCAGAGATATTAAAATTCAAAACTTTACGAACTGCAACAAGTCCATCTATGATTAAGTCTTCGAGTGCAGGGCAAGAATAAAAGAGCGTCTCCATTGAGTCAGCATCAGGATTGCGGATTCTGGCATGGAAGAACTTCAGATTTGGGAAACAACCTGAAGTAGGAGTAAAGGTAACATTTGATTCCAGCCAAAGCTTCAAAACCACCAATGTCTTGCACGTGAAAAGGTTATCGGGCAACTCAAACGGGTAGCTTAAAGAATGAAGAACAAGTTCGAGTTCAACAACCTTAAGCCTAATGGCAGTGCAAATCCAAGCTTCAACACTAGGATAATTCTCCACTCAAGTACAAGAGAGACGGAATGTATGAATGTCAGATGAGCCACGAATGACGAGTGCACGATCCAAGAACTCCGCAAAACCTCGATCTCGGTGGAATCTATGAGTGAAGAGGCGACGACCCACAAACTCAGTGAAACCGGGGCTAACTGAATTCAATGCTCTTTGCGAGCTCTTATCACAAAGGTCTAGAGTGGGAATAGGAGTCCACACATACCTCCATCTCGGTGATAAAACACTGGTCTTTACAGCTTCTTTTGTTGGAAGGAGGGAAAGGATGCGGCAAAGAATTTCATTTGGTAAACTACTGATCCTATCTCCATTGCATGCATTTGGAAGCTTTGACTTTGAGTTGGTACCCATTTACAAAATGATACGTTTGCTGAAAAAACATACATAATACGTTGAACAGAAGACACTATATAAGACTTGGCGCTATGCTTTTTAGTTTTTCTAGCATCCGAACTGAAAATGTAGGATGTAATTTAATAGGTAAACAAGGCATATTGTGAACAGAAAATAGAAACTAAAACAAGTAAAATGATAAAAGATAGATACATGGGGCTATTAGCTTAAGTGCTCAAAATGTTACACCTAAGGTTTGACATTTAAATCTTGCCTCTTGTAAATTCACTTGTATATAAAAAAAAGATAGATCTAAAACATATAGTAACTTTTAGACTGCTTTTTCGTAGAATTCTCATAAAATAATACATAATAGAATAAAGAATCTTACAACAAAAAGTTAACTAAAAAGATACTTGGAAACCGGAAAATAAAAGACTAGTGTTATAAATAGGCAAAATTTAGAGAGATAACCTTTATTAGGGACAGAAGCGAAGCAGTTGCAAAATATTATACCAACACAAGTTGTTGCAGATGAAGTAATGTATATTATTGCTATTAGTTGTTTTGCTCTTCCAAGTCTAATTTGATCAAGTGTAGTGCTCTATTTATAGAGCAACTTCATAGGAAACAAACAAATGACATTATTGAACTTGTGAAAGAGTTACTATATACATGTGGGCAAACATACCCACTATTTTACAACACTCCCCCTTTGATGCCCACATATCAACATCAATTGCCTCATTAAAACCTTGCTTGGAAAAACCCAGTGGGAAAAAAAACCATAGCGAAGGAAAAAGAGTACAATTTTACCCGAATGATGTTGAGCATGCTTATGTTGCCTCGTTAAAACCTTGATAGGAAAAACCCAGTGGAAAAAATCCTAATCGAAGGAAAAAAAGTACAACATGTATGTATCATGCATGCTCCCCCTGAATTGTATCTCCCCCGGATTTCGCATTCTTCAATTTGTAAGCTGACGTAATCCGATTCCCTGCACCAACTTCTGAAATGTGCACTTTGGTAAAGATTTGGTGAACAAGTCTGCTAAATTTCATTGGAACATATTTGTCTCACTTCAATAACTTTAGCCTTCTGAAGCTCATGTGCACTGAAAAATCTTGGAGATATGTGTTTGGTCTTGTCGCCCTTGATGAATCATTTCTTCATTTAGGCAACACAGGCTGCATTATCTTCATGTATGACGTTGAAGTGTCTGTCTTTGAAGGTAGACCACATGAATTCCGGATGTGATGGATCATTGATCTTAGCCAAGAACATTCACGACTTGCTTCATGCAAATCAATTATTTCCGAGTGATTGGAAGATGTAGCAACTAGCGTTTGCTTGGTTGATCGCCATGAAATTGCAGTATCTCCATTAGTGAACACATATCCATTTTGTGAGCGGGCTTTATGCGGATCGGAGAGAAAACTAGCATCTGCGTATCCAACAAGGATCTGTTCATTTGTGGGCTTGTCTGAGTAGAAGAGACCCATATCTGTTGTCCCACGAAGGTATCGTAGAACATCTTTGACTCCTTTCCAATGATGAATTGTTGGAGCAGAGCTGTACCTGGTTAACAAGTTAACTGAAAAAGCTATATCTGGTCTAATACATTGTGCTAAATACAATAAAGCACCTATTGCACTCAAATATGGTACTTCTGGACCAAGGACCGGTTCATCATCTTCTTTTGGACGGAATGGATCTTTCTTAATGTCCAAAGAACGAATGACCATTGGGGGTGCTAAGTGGATTAGCTTTGTCCATGCCAAATCGCTTTAGTATTTTTTCAATGTAAGCTGATTGATGGACCAAAATTCCATTAACACAATGCTCGATTTGCAGGCCGAGACAATATTTTGTTTTCCCAAGGTCTTTCATTTCAAATTCGCTTTTCAGATATTCAGCAGTTTTGTTGAGCTCTTCAGGGGTTTCAACTAGGTTCATATCATCGACGTATATTGCCACTATAGCAAATCCAGTATTTGATTTCTTAATGAACACACAAGGGCAGATGACAATGTTGGCATATCATTTTTTAATCAAATACTCACTGAGACGATTATACCACATTCGCCCAGATTGTTTCAGCCCATACAGTGATCGCCTTAATTTGATTGAGAACATACCTCGTGGTTTGTTAGTTGCTTCAGGCAACTTAAGTCCTTCTGGGACTTTCATATATATGTCAGTATCTAATTCTCCATATAGATACGCGGTGATGACATCCATAAGTCGCATGTCAAGTTTTTCTGAAATCACCAAACTTATTAAGTAACGGAATGTAATTGCGTCCATTACAGGAGATTATGTCTTTTCATAATCAATTCCAGGTCTTTGTGAAAAACCTTGTGCAACGAGTCGTGCTTTATATCTTGCAATCTCGTTTTTCTCGTTACGTTTCCTTGTGAATACCCATTTGTAACCTACGAGGTTCACACCAGGCGAGGTTTGGATTACTGGTCCAAAAACACTTCATCTTTCCAAGGAATTTAATTCTGCCTGGATTGCATCTTTCCATTTAGGCCAATCTTGTCTCTGTCTGCATTCATCAACAGAGCGGGGCTCAATATCATCACTTAAGATAATTTCAGTGGCTATTGCAAATGCAAACATGTTGTCGATGATTATTTCATTTCGATCCCACAATTCATTAGTACATGCATAATTTATGGATATTTCTTTGCTTTCTTGTACTTCTATCTCTTCAGAGACATGTGTCTCATCAAGGACATTTTCTTTTTTCTGGAAGTACAGAATCACGAATTGTGGATTTATCATTCAATTTCTTTTCTTGAATGATATCATTTGGGTTCAACTGTGCCCTCATCTTTCTCTTTCGAGGGGCTGAATCTTTTGAACTTGGGGGTTTACCACGCTTCAGACATGCACTGGATGAATCATTTTTTGCCACTTTATTTTGTCCAATAGAGACATCAATTCTTGCAGGTGTGTTTGCAGCTGGTATATGTGACTGTGTCACTTTTGAAGCATCATTAAATGCATCTTGCATTTGATTAGCAATACCTTAAAGATGAACGATCATTTTCACTTCATTTTCACATTGAGTGCTTCGTGGATCAAAATGAGATAAGGTGGGAACAACCCATGTCAGCTCTTGCTGTTCTTCTAGAACGGTCTTTCCTCCCCCTAACGACGGGAAAACTGTCTCGTCAAAATGACAATCAGCAAAACGAGTTGTAAACATATCACCAGTCAAAGGTTCCAAATATCTAATGATAGATGGTGAATCAAAACCCACATAAATTCCCAATATGCTAAGGTCCCATTTTAGTTCGTTGTGGCGATGCAACAGGCACATAAACAACACAACCAAAAACTCATAAATGTGAAATGTTTGGCTGATGTCCAAACACGAGTTGTATTAATGAGTATTGGTGGTTGGCTATGAGTCTCAGTCGAACTAATGATGTTGTATGTAAGATGGCATGTCCCAATGCTGAGACTTGCAATTTCTTTTTCATGAGCAAAGTGCGGGCTATTAATTGAAGCCGCTTGATAAATGCCTCTGCTAAACCATTTTGGGTATGGACATGAGGAACAAGATGTTCAACATCAATGCTCAGTGCCATGCAGTAATCATCAAAGGTTTGAGATGCAAATTCACCAGCGTTATCAAGTCGAATGGACTTAATGGGATGATCTGGGAACTGTGCTCGCAACTTAATTATCTAAGCAAGAAGTCTCGTAAAAGCTACATTTTGAGTAGACAATAGGCAAACATGTGACCATCGGGTAGATGCATCAACCAAAACCATAAAATATCAAAATGGAACACAAGGTGGTTAAATAGGTCCACAAATATCCCCTTGAATTCTTTGCAAAAATAATGGGGATTCATCATCAACCTTTAGTTGTGATGGTCTAATTACCAACTTCCCTTGGGAACAAGCCTTGCAAGGGTTATCGTTTAAGCCATCAATGTGTTTGCTCATTAATGGATGTCCACTAGAGTTGGTAATGATTCTACGCATCATGGTAGATCCTGGATGACTCAGACGGTCATGCCAAAGCATGTAAACCTTTGAATTAATGAACTTCTGGTTCATGACAGTATATGCCTCAACTGTCTTTATGTATGTATAATACAATCCACTCGATAAACCATGCAACTTCTCCAATATATGCTTATGGGTATCATTGGAGGTAATGCATAAATATTCCACATTTTCTACACTTTTTGTTTCAATGTGGTATCCATTTAGACGTATGTCTTTAAAACTCAACAAATTTCGAATAGATCGAGTATCGTATAATGCATTCTGTATGGACAATATTGTTCCATTTGGTAACATAATCTGGGCTTTTCCTAAGCCTTAAATTACATCTGATTGCCCTGATATTGTTGTTACCTTTACTTTTGCAAGTACCAAATTTGAGAAATACTTTCATTCTTGAAGTATTGAATGCGTGGTTGCGCTGTCTGCAAGACAAAAGTCTCCGCCATTGATATTGTTTTGAGAATAACCATAATTTTTATCCATGTTCTCTGAGTAAAGAAAAAGTAGTTTATTCATACTGGAATACTACTTTTATTGAATTGAAAATGCGAGCATTAAATCACAAGTACAAATAATAAGAGTACATTAAACATAAATAATCCAATCGGACCCATAAACTTCATTCCCTCTTTCATTAATAAAGTCTGTAGCATTCAGTTGGGTTGTGTTTAACTGTCCTGATAAATTGGTCACTGGATCAGGGGTTTCCATTGGTTGAGCCTGGTCGAAGAACTTGATCTCGACACCCTCTTTTTTGTAGGAGGCTTGATATAACTCCACCAGATGCTTTGGGGTGCGACAAGTACGCACCCAATGTCCGTTGCCACCACACCTATGGCAAACTCTTTCAGGATTTCTAAGAGTGTTCATATGAGTTTTTCCTTTCTCGCGATTTGCATTTTTAAAGCTCGGGCCTGGATTATGCCTTGGAACCTGGTTGTGAAACTGGACACCATGGTTCTTGCCTTTCTCGTTCCACCGGCCTCG